CAGAAAGAACAAGGGAGAGCTGAGAAACCCAATCCAGAGAGAACGTGTGTCTAAAGGAAGACGTGATTAGAGTGAGGTGAAGGGTGTGCCCCATCTACAGCCTAATGATTTCCTTGTTCCACCATACTGTTTAACAACTGGCACAATCAAGATTAGACCCACCAAAACTCCAACCATGAGAATCTTTTGGGACCCAATCAAACACTCTGACTGAAAGACACATTCAAGACCAAATTCTTAGCCAGAATGTTAGCCTTAGATAGTTAACTCGATAGATATAGTTAAATAAAATTCAGTCATTATTTGCTGTTAGAAAAGTTATGTTAAATATTAAAATGTTATATTATCTATACAAATATTATTATATAACATTTTAATAAATATTTACATCATTAATAAATAAAAATATGGCACAAAAAATATTTTGAAAGACACTTCACAGATATATTGTCCATCAAAAAAAAGGGTCAAGTTTGACGTCAGTAACATCAAACTTTTCTCTAGCATCTTTTAGCGAAATATCATAAAGTCAAACACAGTTACCCAGTTTTTTTGCTTAAAGTATTCATTTGAATTCTTAGATGTGCCTGTTCAATTACAGTGAACATCCTTTCAAAGGACTTGAAAATGTGTTATTATAAAATAGACAGATTCTGACTCAACAAGTCACATTCAAGGACGTTGTCAAATGCATACTGAGACCACATATTCTATATTATGTAATGGCTTATGGTTTTACCACTTTCAAATGCTTTGAAATTAACAATTTACTCCTGATGAACTCATGATGTCAACATTTCAGAGTAGTTTTTTGTCTGCTAGCCAAATTAAAATCACAACCTGTTCTTGATTTCTCATTCTCTCTCAAAAACACATACACTAACACAATCCACCAGTCTGCGGATTTAAGATAAAAGACAACTGTTCATTTAATCCACCATCAAAACCTCCAATCAAGGCTGACAAGGCTGACAAAAAATGTAAAAACCACACTTGGTCCAGATTATTGGTCTTATACAGTATATGAAGATTAAGTGAGATAAGGCCTATGACAACAATTATGTGTTTATTTTTCTGTACCAAATAATATCTAATCGCAATATGCTTATGTTTTAGTATTATGTCCTTAATATAAATTTAATCACTGGAAAGGTCCTATTTTATGACATTACAGTATGTGTTATTATCAGAGTTGGGCAAGTTACTTCTAAAATGTAATACATTATATATTACTGTCTACTGTCTTTTGAAAGTAATTAGTTACATTACAATATTACTGTCTCTGAATTGTAATGCGTCCTTTGAGTTTTGAGTTACTTTTGAGTTACTTTCACCAAAATATCCACAGAAGTATTATAAAATGCCAAAATGTAGTTTATTGCTGCTCATTCTACATCCAGTGGAGGGTAATGTGGTAGGTCTATATAGCATAAACTATATGAAATCATATTTAGATACCGCTAGGCTATGTAGGTCTACATTAATGTTACATTGTAGTTTAGGTTAAAAAAATAAGCACAAATCGCATTATTGCATTCATAAATAACGCCGGTAAATAAAGCGAAATATTATCATGTACAAACAATAAACACAATACCTAGCCTATAGGCTATTTTGAACGGTTTCAGGAGAAAACAAGAATGAACATTTTTTACTACAAATTTTTAGAAAAGTTGCTAAACAAGCCAAAATGAATTAGGATAATTCAATGCGAAATTGAAAGCAAACGGCGTTCTCGAGCAGTCATACAGATAATTAGGCTATTTAAGTCAAATATTTTGCATATTCATTCATTTTATATATAGACTATGATTTAATAAAAACAGATTTTGTTATTTTTAGTTAAACTTTAATAATATTACCCAAATTTTATTAGTAATGCGTTATATTACTGCGTTACAGCAAAAAGTAGTATACTACTGTAATATTATTACTTTTGTAATGCGTTACTCCCAACACTGGTTATTATTAATAATGTGTTGTTATTAGTAGTATGTGTTCACTCTTTTATGGTATCCCTAATTAAAATCTGTGGTTACGGCAAAGCTTCACCTTGAATCTGTGCGTTTTGAGCAGAAGCAAATGTTAGAATCAAATTCTGCAGATGTTTGCGTATGTGGAAGGTCTCATTGAGAAACAGACTTAAAAATTATGCACAACTGCCTGAAGTAGAGCCGTACTATCACAACATACTCCACATTAAATACGCATGACAGATACAGTGTCTCTTTCTCAAAAGAAATCCCATAGTGCATTAGGTGTCATTTCAATATTAAAACACATTTAGGAACATCTACTGTACATACACTACTTTAAAAAAAAAAAAAAAAAACTTTGGTGTAAATTTAAAAAAGAAAAGGACACGGTTCAATAGGGCTGCATGATTATGTCAAAAATCATAATTGTTGATTATTCCCTTGAAATTGTAATTGCGATTATTAATTATGATTATCATAATTTACACTGAATGATGTTTATATTATTTTTTGAAGCAACTGCATGCAATATTTTTATATGAAAATAAACAAGCTGAAAACACTCTAACTGAAAAACAATTATTGCTTTTTTATAGTATTAAGCCTCAGATGTTAACTATACATTGGATTGGAATCTTCTTTAAATAAAAAAAAAACTGTGTATGTGTGTATGTATGTATTTTCATATTTGTTATATTTACACAAATATATTAATCATCCACAAATTGAACAAATTTTGTGAAGTGAATTGAACTTCTACAGATATACTGAGCCGAGTGTATAGGGATTAGTGTACACTACATAGGGACCTTGTAAATTGGAACGCAGCTCAAGAAACATTGGTCATCCTGACAAATCATTAAATGTTAAAGGTAACAATACTATATGTATGGTTGAATTTATTTTATAAGATTTGAAACTCCACAGAGCAACTGATTCTGTGCTATTCAACATTCCTTTGTACGCTAAACCAGCTGACGTTCCCTGATAAGCCACTGTGACTCCAGAGAAGACATCTCTCTGATGAGATCAAATCAACCTGCTGTGACTTAATTCACTTAGGCTTTACTAAATAGACTCCTGAGTGCCTAAATTCAGTTTGCTGCAAGTTCTTTTCCAATTAAGACTGAAGACTGACAACATTCGCCAAAGACTAAATTACCCCTCTTAAAACAAAATCTCTCATTTGGACCTTTTTCAAATCCTTGTTCAAATATGATATGTTGACTCTTGCGGGTAGAAATGCACTAACCTTGGATCTAAGAGTGAAATAACTAGGAATTAGGTCTCAAGTGGACTGAATGTCACTCACCTGCCTGACAGAATTGATTTGTTTGTTCTCCAGTGATATAATCAAGATACCATCCCATTACAGAGAGGGGAGAAACTAAATGAACTCGCCTTCCAAGGTTCCTCCGTCTCCGCAAACACAGTAGACCAAAAGAACTAGGCTTTTATCCAAACAAATGAATCAAATTGATTATCTCTAAGAGTTCCCCTGACTCCATGCAGTCTATATAAAATGTAATTCCTTCCACCCAAATCATTACTAATGCACATTAGGCCCAGAAGTTTTACCAAAGGACTGTATCATCAGATTACAACATTAACCACAATGTGCAAACAGTACCTCATTACATCAGGTGGCATTTCTCCCCAGAGGGACGTCAACTCTCCAACCATGAATAGAAAAATTAAGGTTTTGTTCCAAAAAACTAATGAGCTGTCTTGAAGTCTGCTGCTGACATAAGCAGTTACCTTTAGGCAGCATCCTATCTGAGCCTCATAAGTGACTGATTTAGAACACTCTACATAGGCACTTTCCAGGATGCACTGGCATGTTATTAATATTAACGTAATGACGCAATACAAAGGTAACAATTGACAGACAGACACACAGATAGATAGAATCACAGACAGAACAAATTAATGAATAAACAGAAAGATTGAAAAACAGACCGACAGACAGACAGACAGAAAGATAGACAGAATGAACGAATGAACGATTGGCAGAAAGATAGACAGACAGATAGAACAATAGACAAAAGGACAGACAGACAGATAGAATGATAGATAGAATTGTAGATAGAACAAATTAACGATATATAGAAAGACAAATCGAATGATAGAATGAACGACAGGCAAAACAAATGAACAATAGACAATTAGAATGATAGACAGAATGAACAAAGATAGACATACAGTACAAAAGAACGAACAAAAGACAGAAGGACAGACAGACAGACAGACAGATAGATAGACGACAGACAGACAGACAGACAGATAGACAGATGATAGATAGATAGATAGATAGATAGATAGATAGAATGATAGCTGATTAACAAGGGTGTAGAAGCACCTAATCCTGATTGTAAGCCTAAAACTGACATTTCCTGAAAAGTTATCTCTCAATTCTGATTGGTTGATTGGAATGATGTTCCTGTTGTACTTGGAACATGTTGTACTTGGTCAAATCACGCTCGATAGATAGATAGATAGATAGATAGATAGATAGATAGATAGATAGATAGATAGATAGATAGATAGATAGATAGATAGATAGATAGATAGATAGATAGATAGATAGATAGATAGATAGATAGATAGATAGATAGATAGATAGATAGATAGATAGATAGATAGATAGATAGATAGAACAAATGAACAACAGAGAAAAAGAAAGACAAACAGATAGACAGACAGATGGACTGATGGACAAATCCAACAAACAATAGACAGAAAGACAGATGGACAGACAAACAGGCAGACGGATGGACAGATAGACAGAACAAAAGAATGACAGACAGAAAGATGGACAGACAGACAGATAGAAAGATTGATAGAATGATAGACAGAACAAACTATTAACAAAAAGATAGACAGATAGAACAATAGACAAAACAAATGAACAAACTATAGATAGAAAGACTTCAGACAGATGGAACGATAGACAGACCAAACAAATGACAGACAGACAGATAGATAGATCGCTAGATTGATGCATAAGACTTGACATATGCCTACCTGATAAGGATAGAGTGTGACGCCATTGGCTCTTGACAGGTGTCCAGATGTCCAGGTGCCGTCCAGGTGCTGGTGAGCTTGGAGTGCGACAGAACTCAACACAGTTCCATTAGTGTTGTTGGGGCTGCTGGATAGATGAGGCTGTTGCGGTCCTGTGGACTTTCCTGCATGGCCTGGCGAGTTGTTCTTCTTCTCCACACCATTGCTCACCCCAAGACTGTTGGGTTTGGATCCGTGTTTGGGGTAGGCTGGGTGGTGGGAGCTGCCGCCGTTGCTTGCATTGGTGGTTGTTGGGGTAGAACTGGAGGTGGTGGCAGAAACGGTAGCAGAGGTGGAGGAGGCCGAGGAATGGTAACCTGTAGGGAGGAACGCCCAGTCTCGAGGTGGTGTGGGACCCTGGAGGATGCTGCGGGATCCCACCAGGGAGGCCAGGGATGGAGGAGAGCCAGGAGATACATCACACTGCTCCAGGCTCAGCACCATGTGGACGGCCTCCTGCTTCAGCTGACTCAGGTGGGTGGAACACACGTCACAGCGACCATCACGCTCGTTCCACGCCTTGCGTGTGCTGTTGGGCACCTGCAGTTTATCATGGATCAGCAGGGAGAAGGAGGGATCCTATGGAGAGACAAACAGGGAAAATAGAGAATTATGTCACATGCACTCTTAAAAATAAAGGTTCCAAAAGGGTTTTTTGCAGTGATGCCATTTTTGGTTCCCTAAAGAATCTTACAATAAACAGTTCTTAAAATAACCATTTATTTAGAGTGAAGAACAAAGAACTCTTTCCAATTATAAAGAACCTTTTGTGCAATGAAAAGGTTGTTGTATGGATGTTATTGGTTCTTCACTGAACCACAGATGCACAACCACAGGTTGATTGATTTTAAAATGTCCCTACCAACTGAAACCACTCACATGAAAGAAATCTCAAAAACAAATCTCTTCATTTTCTCCGTTGCTTCTCATAGACAGCAATGAGATGAAATGGAGACTTTTGAAATTAAATTTGAGATTTTGCTTAAGTCTACAGATTCTCACATATAGCTAAAGTGTACTGGAAGAGACTTCAAAAATGTCTCAGACTGTGCTCAGACTCCAAAATGTGCAGTCAAGAGTCTTTTGCCTCCAATTTTAATATAAACACACATATTTTTCATCAAATGTTGCCTTAGATGTTTCATCTCAATGGGATAATCCACCAGAAAATGGAAATTCTGTCATCATTTACACACCCTCATGTGGTTCCAAACCTTTATGACTTACTTTCTTCTGCAAAAAATCAAAAAGAAGATATTTTGGAACCAAACAACACTGGACCCACAGCGACCATCACGCTCGTTCCACGCCTTGCGTGTGCTGTTGGGCACCTGCAGTTTATCATGGATCAGCAGGGAGAAGGAGGGATCCTATGGAGAGACAAACAGGGAAAATAGAGAATTATGTCACATGCACTCTTAAAAATAAAGGTTCCAAAAGGGTTTTTTGCAGTGATGCCATTTTTGGTTCCCTAAAGAATCTTACAATAAACAGTTCTTAAAATAACCATTTATTTAGAGTGAAGAACAAAGAACTCTTTCCAATTATAAAGAACCTTTTGTGCAATGAAAAGGTTGTTGTATGGATGTTATTGGTTCTTCACTGAACCACAGATGCACAACCACAGGTTGATTGATTTTAAAATGTCCCTACCAACTGAAACCACTCACATGAAAGAAATCTCAAAAACAAATCTCTTCATTTTCTCCGTTGCTTCTCATAGACAGCAATGAGATGAAATGGAGACTTTTGAAATTAAATTTGAGATTTTGCTTAAGTCTACAGATTCTCACATATAGCTAAAGTGTACTGGAAGAGACTTCAAAAATGTCTCAGACTGTGCTCAGACTCCAAAATGTGCAGTCAAGAGTCTTTTGCCTCCAATTTTAATATAAACACACATATTTTTCATCAAATGTTGCCTTAGATGTTTCATCTTAATGGGATAATCCACCAGAAAATGGAAATTCTGTCATCATTTACACACCCTCATGTGGTTTCAAACCTTTATGACTTACTTTCTTCTGCAAAAAATCAAAAGAAGATATTTTGGAACCAAACAACACTGGACCCATATTGAACTCCACACAGAAAAGGAAACGTTTCAAAATATCTTGTTTTCCATACAACAAAGAATGTCGCAGATTTAGAATGATACGTGAGTAAATTTTCATTTTTGGTTGAACTATCCTTTTAAAATAAATTAACAAAGAAACAAATGAGTTGACAAAGTTATACACAAAATAATTTAAGCTGCTATCCACATTGTTTTATTTATTGATCTATACTCAAACTGTATATGAACAATTTTTTCATATACATTAATCTTGATTGATGAAACAACTGAGAACTCAATTCAATTCAACTTTCCTCTGGGCAAACATACACCTTTGGTTCCTCCGCTGTCTTTCCTTAAGCAGTCTTAGGCTGATGATACGGGACACGGGACTTTTTGAGCAATTTTGCCGGGCAACTTTTTTTGAGCAATGCTGCTTGGGAACTTTCCCATTGAAAATGGGTAACAAATGTCTATCTGGATACTTTAGATCAGTCGTGGGCCCTGTGTCTCATCTGGTTGCCCGTTGCCCGGCAACACTGCTCAAAAAGTTGCCCCGTGTATTATCAGCATTAAACTGAATAAATGAGTCTGTCTGCACTGCTAAGTAATTAGATACTACAATCATTAATCGCCACACAACTATGGAATTTATTTTCACAATGTTCACATGATGTCACCACAGAACAGCGCCATGAACTTATTACATTCACAATTCCCCTGGAGCATCCTGGGGTTAAGTACCTTCCTCAAGCTCTGATTGGCTCATGGCACACTTCCTGCAAGGATCAAACCACCAACCTTCTGGTTACCAGCCATGAGCCCAAACCACTTCTCCGATTAATGACTAATTGAAATCTAACAATGATGGTATATTCACCGAGCATAAACAATGTGCACATTATTTTTGTATAGTAAAGCAGGTTCATTGCTTCATGCAGAATACAATTATAATGCAAACAACGCGCTTGTTCTCACGCTTTGTCAGTCTGGATTTGGTCTGCTCTTTATTTTTCTGTCTTCCAAATCTTCATTAGCATAAAGCTTCCAATTATCTGGCTTTGGTGCATCATCACACCATGTGCTTGAGTATTCCGTGAGACGAAGATCATAATTATGTTTTGGCACATGCTCACAGGGCCAGTGTGAAGATGCAGGAACTATTTTAATTAGATTAATTGAGATACAGGGAATGACATCATCCTTTCATCACACAAGGGAAGAGATGTACAATTGCAATGATTTAGTGGACACTCAGAAATAAATATACTTAATCTTTCATTCTGTTGCATCCCATCTGTGTATTGTTTTTGATTAAGACATTGATTTAAAAGCTACATTACACAAAATAGTTCTGCCACAAGGAGGAATTAAGTGATCTCACAATTTTATTTATTTATTTATTTTTTCCTTGTGACCAAGATTTATCACCATTCACATTTGAAATTTCATATTTTACCCGTAGATATTACAGGGCTCATCATAATGGATAGATGGATTCTAATTAGCATCCCCAGTACCTTGATAGATAATTGACCTTTTTAGCATCTAGACAGTGCCTGTTAGACACTATAGTGGTACTTTGGTCTCCGACTGCAGTAGGCATGGAAAGGTGTGAACTTAAACCAGCTAGTATAACAATTAACCTTGAACCTTGGGTTTAGAGGCCACACTCATTTATGCATGCAGACAGGCTGAATTAGAAGTGCAGATAATGACAGTGTGTATACACTCTAAAAAGGTTGTTTCAACCCAATGTTGGGTCAAATATGGACTAACCCAACTGTTGGGTTAAATTTT